CCTCATAAAACATAATGCATATTCATGTATAATTCAAAAGTCAAAACACGTATTAGGAAAAAAAAAAAAAAGGTAAATGGGCCCAAGTTGGGTTTACAAAAGTTAAACCAGACCGAGGATTCAAATTCATCAGTTGTTTATTTTTATTTGAAGCCAATTAGCTATTATTTTATTATAATATAATACAAAAATGAAATAAAATATAAAAATTGGTAATGTGGCTTCGCCCGGGCTCGAACCGGAGACCTTCAGTGTGTTAGACTGACGTGATAACCAACTACACCACGAAACCTGGTTGATATTTTCTGTCACTAAAATATACATATAAAGAATAAATTCGATATTTAAATTTAAATGGTATTGAGATCAAGTGAAAAATAAAGTTTAGATAAGTTTTTTGTCATCTCTATAGATAGGAAATCTCTGTACTGACTATCATACTGTGCATATGTAATACATTTTCTGTTCTCGATGTTATTTTGGTCATAATATTGCAATCAATTAACTGATCAGATCATATAAATCACCGATTTATGTCTCTCAAAAATAGTATGCCAACAATATCTATATCCACTTAAAGTCATTTAATAGTAACAAGTCATATCACATTCAACAAAATTTAAGCAATTTTTGCCCCTGTTTCACCCCTATTTTTGGGGGAAAATGTCTTTTGCAATAGTTATTTTTTGAAGAATATGTTGTTAAAAAAAATAAGGAAAAATTTTGAGTTTACGTGTAAAATTATTGTATGAAAAAATATTTCTTTCAAAATGAATTTTTTTAAAAAATAAAATAAAATGAGGTTTTAGAAAAATGGAGCCAAACAGGAGCTTCATCCTTTATTGTCAATCAAATAATTTGTATTTTAAATCAAAAGTTTATTCAACTAAAATTAAACATCCATAGAACCAAATGCAACCACACATAAGATCCGTTTGGCAGAATTTCACCTTTTGCTTCTACTCTTGTAGAAGAACTTCTTCTGAAACCTCTTTTAGCTAAACAAAATACTTCAAGAAAATTATCCAAACAGATTCAAAATTAGTTTCGTAGTT